TTTCCTTCTATTATCTAAAGTAACAAAATCATGTTTTTGCCAGAGGGATTCGATTAGGCGGATATTTGCTCTCGAATTGAGAAGACCAAAACTTCAAGATCTTACCCTGCATTGTTTCCGAAGAGTCAGATACGCTCACATAGCAAAGGGTTCCATACTATCCTTGCATACTCTAAGCTATAAGCATTAAAGCATGATAAAGAATTGTCAAAGATCACATCTATGTAGGTTTTTTATTTGTATGACGTTATTTACTGATGCTGATTAGGAGATTGTTTATGACACGCAATCCTCATACCTTGTCGATGTCACCCTGCAGACGAGCATAATACGCACTGCTCTCGACACTTCGATAAATATTCAAGTCATCTGCATGAACCAAATGGCAACAATCGATATTATTAATAATGTCGTTAATAATAATTGCCTCCTGCCTGACAAGTATTATCTAAACAGTGACACTTACCTTTCAGCATTGTCAAATTTCGTTAGTAAGATGCTGCAATCAAGTTTGTCAACGACTTTACTAAAATTGTAAATGTCATCTACTTGACCGTTTGCATTTAGCACTCCAGAGACTAGTTAAGTGGAGCAGACTTATTCGGTTGTATGTGGTTATATGTATTTTGTTGTGACAATTTCATTTCCTCATACAGTGCTGCCCGAACGTTACAAAATTTGCGAGCCGATATCCTAAAAACGAAGCGGTACACCACGTAATCTGGCTTTTACGACAATGTTGTACCTAAGTGGCAAAAAATCACCCTAGTCTAAAACCCGCCTAAAATATTCCTCACGGAAACCTGCCACTCATTAGTTATTCCTACACGCGGCGATCCATATAGCTTGTTTTGGCTAAAGCTTTTTCGGCAGCTGTCGAGTTTCGGAGTCAGCTCACGTAACGCCCCCTGTGCCCCATTAGTTTATTCGGACCTCACCTCCATCCATATAGCGATAGGTCCACCCTTCTAGCCGCAGCCTGCCCGATGCCGGAGTCATGAATTAGTAAGAGGTACAGCTCCTCAAAATGGAAAATCCCGGAGACCCGCAGTGAATACAAATTTCTAGGCAGGACGTCCGCCATAGTGGTCTATCGATGCGAAAAACTGTCAAAAATTAAAAAACCATGGAAAATGAATTAAAAATATTAATTATTTTTAAGTAAATACGTCAAAAAATGAGTTAGGCATGGAATCAGAATTGTGTTTGCCGTACCTTTACTATCGTAGACTTCATACTTGTACTTTGTGGTATATCATTCTGCACTACCTTTTAACGACAGAATTGGAGAGTTTCTTTATATAGGGTCAGGTGAGAATATAATACAAGCTTTTGATGAACTATGCCATCATCACCAGGAGCTCCAATAACATTGAGAAAAATAGCAACTACAAGTGCAACATTAATTTTAAACTACTTACAACAGTAAATGTGAGTAAATGTTATTATTTGTTAAGTTGATGGACATATTTAGTAGCCTGGGGAAAGCTGGATCCATGGTACGTTCATTAAAAATAGTAAAAAACACACATCTGTATGTCACCAGCACATCTCAACGGATTAAAAATTTTTTTGGAGTGATTGTTGAGTTTTAAGCAATATTACATCGTGAAAAATCACCTGTTGCGTAACAAAATGGTGCACAACACAAGATCATCGGAACCAAGGAGAAAACATGACAGCTGACAAATAATGGCTGATAGGTGACAGTATCAAAGGATGGAACAAATGAGTGCGTGCTGTGGAATGTTGCTGAATCTACTTAAAAAAGTATAACTTTTGAAGATTTACCCCAACCAAAGACTTATTTGTCAAAAAACCAGAAGCAGTTGAAAGCACTATATTATTGATAAGTTGAAGCATGATTTAGCAACTATTTATTATCAGGAAACAATTATTGGACAAGAGAAACGGAATTTGGAAAAAAGAAATGGAAAAGGCAAGCCATTCTGCCATAGTTGGTCTTGAAAGTGTCAGTTTATCACATATCTATCCAACTAAATCACCAATGCTTCATTTATTGCAGAGGCGTATTTAAAGGACATTCAAATAAATAATTTGAACATTTATCCGTTATTTTCGCACGATATAGGCGTTCTACGTTTCATCTTACTCGTAGATTAATATAATAGTATTTGAATGCAAGATGTGCGCATCGGTTTAGGTATAGCGAATATGGAATGTATACTAAGTGACATATAAATCCGAACACCCAGTTTAAGTGGTTTTATTTTAATAAAAGTTAGTGAATGTATTTATCTTACTGTAAATTACAAGTGAAAAAATTTTCAGCCTTATCAGTTGGACATTCCGGTTTTTATACTGCTTTTTTTTTAATTCACTAACGCTCTAAAAATGAATATTTCAGCCGCAGTAAAGAATCAACGTTGACGGATTTTGGTTCTTGACATCATTTACGATCGGTTACGATGCCTAGAGGACCTGTACGATTTCGTCAACTTAGTGAGTTTGATAGGGGCCGTATAGTGGGACTTCGGGAAGCTGGACTTTCTTTTCGGGCAACTGCAGTTAGAGTGCAAAGAATTGTAGACACTGTGGTTAGGTGTTGTCAGGTATGGCTTCGAGAAGGCCGTACGCAAAGAGCAAGGGGCACTGGACGCCGCCGTAGAGGCAACAGACCGTGTAGATCGCCGCCTAAGATTATTGGCCTTAAGGGACCGTTTCTCCACTACCAGGTCCATTGCAAATGAATGGTTTGCAGAACACGGAAGACCTATTGTCATGCGAAGTGTTTACCGACGAATGAGAAGTTTTGGCTTGTTTTCATACCAGCCACAGTGGGTCCTCCCTTTAACTCGAGGTTAGAAGTTAGAAGGCGACGTGGTGAAAGGAGGAATCCACAGTTTTTTGTTGAAAGACATGTTCATCACACTGTTGGAGTTCTGGTTTGGGGTGCTATAGCTTATGGTTCCAGGTCACCTTTAATCTTCATCAGAGGTAACATGAACGCGCAGCGTTATATCCACGAAGTTCTAGAACCCCATCTTTTACCCTATCTTGACACCCTGGTAGATCCAACTTTCCAACAAGATAATGCCCGACCACATGTTGCAAGAGTCACAATAGACTTCTTTCAACATAATAATGTCACATTGTTACCATGGCCACCAAGAACTCCCGACTTACCCCCAATTGAGCACGTGTGGGATATGATGGGTAGGAGATTGCTCAATTTGCAACGTCCTCCTCAGACTCTAGAAGCACTTCGAGAGGAGTTGGTGGTTGCCTGGAATGAGATACCACAGGAGGTCATTGACCACCTGATCAGAAGCATGCCTAGGCGCGTTGGAGAATGCGTAGCACATCAGGGTGCATCCACACATTATTAAAGGTCAAAGGGCTTTAAAGCAGTGCAATCATTTTGAAATTTTTATCATTTACTTATTATGCTTCATTAAGTTAGTACTTATACAAAATTTTATTAAAATAAAACCATTTAAACTGGGTGTTCGGATTTATATGTCACTTAGTATATTTAGGAAGCTACAACATCGTCTAGATTTTTATTTAATCTAAAATGTCCAAATACATAGAGTACTACTGCTTCAATGTTTTTAGTGCCACCATTGCTATTTGTGGTTGTCTTTGGGTGTACTTTTAGCTGCTGATGGCTCTCCATCAATAAATAGATTTGGTAACGTCGTGAAAATATGCAGGCTCCTGCGCTGTTGCTAAGAAACAATAAATACCACCTTGTTCAAAAAGTTCCCGGAATAGTCGCCGTGTTGCGCTCATAGCACACGGCAGTCAATTTTGCTTGTCTTGTTATGGTGCCCAACTTTCGCTGATATTCCCCCCGAATTTTCGCATCACTTCATTATCAGTTGTCAAAGCTACGTCGAGTTGACTACATGTGCCTTTGAGCGTGTTCACGATTTATAAGGATTTTTAAAATGGATCTGAATAAACAACAATGCGTTTGCATTAAATTTTGTGTTAAAAACAGTATCAACGATACACAAACTTTGGAAATGCTGGGAAAATGCTTTGGCAATGATGCTTTGAAGAAAAAAGCCGTTTTCGACGGGTCACAGAAGGTCGTCAGAAAGGTCACAGAAGAAAAGGAAGACAAAGTGAAGAAAATGTTGGTCACCAACCGCAAGTTAATTATCAGAGAGATGGCAGAGCACTTGAGCATCGCTTATGGGTCCGTTCAAAGCACTTTGGTCAACCATTTGGGCTTCCGTCGTGTTGCAGTCAAGTTGGTGCCAAAAGACTTGAACTTCATGCACAAAAATGACCGTTTTGATATCGCCAAAGACATTATTTCCATGGCTGATTTTGACCCAACATTTATCAAACGCATCATTACTGGAGACGAGACGTGGGTTTATGAGTACGACATGTGGTCAAGCTATCAGGCGAGTGAATTACGCGCGCCGGATGAGCCGAGACCGAAGAAACCGCGTCGTTTCCAGTTGAAAAAGAAGGTAATGCTCACGGTTTTCTTGGATTACTACGGCCTGGTGCATAGTGAATTCTAGCCGGAAGGTCAGACTGTCAACAAGGAGTACTATTTGGATGTTTTGAGATGTTTGCGTGAATCAATCCGTCAGAAACGCAAGCATTTATGGGCAAACAAGTCGTGGATCTTGCACCACGATAACGCACCATCGCACGGTGCCATGATTGTCCGTGAGTTTTTGGCCAAAAACAACACGAATATCACTCAACGACCACCTAGTTCACCTGATTTGACCTCTCGTGGCTCCTTCCTGTTCAATCGAATCAAAAAGCCACTGAGAGGAGCCCGTGTCAGCAGCCGAGGAGAGATAATGAAAAATTTGTCTTGTTAATTTTTTTATAAATTCCGGGAACTTTTTGATCAAGGTAGTATAGTTCAAAAATGTACCGAACAAGTACCACTCCTCAAAAGCAACAATCCATACCACTTAGAATGGTTATAGTGTATTGCAAGCTAGTACTAGAATGCATGCATGCAATAGTAGGAATGCATGTGTGCTCTGAAGGAAGCTCACCTCATACATTTTGATTTGCCCTTTCCTGGGGAAATTTGCATCACAAATAACTTTGAGAGCATAAAAGATGTTCGATTTGCTACTGCCCGGGTCGTTTTTTGCTGCTCAACATGTTTTGGGGCTAATACGAACTGGTCACCTCCCCTCCGTTGTGTGCCTCTTCTGGGAGATTGAAGAATATCTACCCTCAAAGCATTACAGTTTCTCTCCTGTTTGAAGATGCATTTGGGTAATATTAATGGCATTCCAAAATCTGACCAAAATACAAAAGAATGAAACAGGGAATGGAAGCTGTCTCATAATTTCTCGTAGTAAATGCATCTTGTGTATGTATATAAATGAACCTTATAGTCTTGTGGGCATTCACATTTTTGAGGAAATATCCTATTATATAAACTACATGAACCCAGAGAATTACTCAGACATGTTTCCGCAACCTGATAAACATTTGACAAAAATATTTGAAAATTCTAAAATCTTTTTTCTAGCAGCCTATTTTTGATCTTGGTCATAAGTATCAGCCATATATAGTGTGTTTCCTGACTTTATCTTTTCATATGTTTTCTACGATTCACGCTGTGAATTTTGTATTATAGTTTACAAAAGGGTTTGTGGAAAGCACATTGTTCATAATGGAAATACTTCAACAAAACTTGTTCAGCAACTGCGAGGAATTGCGACGATCATTACAGTCAAACTTCCTAAACCCAAAAGACGTAGGCAAAAATTTATGCGTGAATAAAATTACAATTATTATATAAGTTCCTTATTGTGTTTCCCTTCTGTAGGGGCAAATACGCATTCATTCCTTGCATGCCATTAAATTTTTATGGAAACGCGGGTATAATGTTATAAGTAATTCTATTCCCGGAGTTTCTCAGCCGGCAGCTATAAATAGCTTAGTTTATCTCCCAAGCTTTTTATCTGTTCGACAAACAAGGGAGAAAATCATCCTACTTCCTTATGTATCTTCACTGCGAACGTAGGGGTGGTCTTAAGTTTCGCCATGGGCGCTCGTAATTACTGTTGATTCAGGGGTTGTAATTAAAATATTATTCTCTAGAAACAACAAAGTGGCATATAACAGACAGCGTAGCTTGCTTACTGCTCTATCTAACTGTTCATTGATATTCGAATTTGTATCAGCTCTTGTAGTGGCAGCACTTCTTATAGATGCTGCCGCAATTGCTTTGAGTATACGGTGAGCAACAAATATATTTGATACAAAAGCCTGACTGTTACTTGAGAATATGATACATCATTCCTGTTTCCTTCCGCTACCTTTTTTTAAAGAGCTATAACAAATATTTTTAATGACCTCAGTTTTGTACGACATGGAGATGTCATCCAAGTCTTCGAGTATCTTGTAGAACTGCAGCTGCACTGGAATAATTGTTTTTTGTTTATAGAATTCTTAGTACTTCGACCGAACGAAGTTCAGCTTAGCTGAAATTGCTAGAAAAACCAGAAAGTTCGGTGACACGGAAGGCGATACGCTTAAAACTTGGTTGTTAAAGTTATACTGACCCGAATCCGTATCACGTAACTTAAAAAGTCAGATTATATCGATTTTTTATGACATTAGGTAGGCTTTTTGACATTATATGGGTTTCTACCACTTCCACAATTTACACCACTGTACTGGGATCTAGAAAATCTACAAGTCATGAGGCATGAGACCGCATTCAACATCCATCTTTAGAGAGCCAAATGGACTAGGCCAACAGATAGTAAAATCCGTACCTCATTTTTAATTAACAGGAACATTCCATATTTTAATTTTTTTCAAAACAATCTACCAAAACTGCTAGATGATATGTCTCTAGCAAACTAGCCACAAAACAATGTGATTTCCAGTACGATTGGATAGGATCTACTTATGTTTAAGGATCTACTGTATCAACATTCTACATGGCTTTCAAAAAGATGACTCTTGCTTATAGACTTATGCTCCTTTAATTGCTTTCGCGTCTTATTCGTACAAAAAATTGGAATTCGCTAGAATTTGTCTATCTTGCGCACAAAACACTTAGAATATTTGATTATCTAAAATGTATTTTGGAAATCCATAATATGCAGAAGTTTTTCACAACTATGGGTATTTTATCTGCCCACTATGTGGTTCTTCTGATTCAATCCATGACCTTTGGGGATACCCTGTTACTAACAAAGTTATGTAGTGATTATCACAAGGACATCTGCTCTCAGAAGTGCAGTAATGCAGACGACCACCTGAAACGGTTTTTCACTGAAAATATGAATCACCCTCATGTAACTCCTTCTTTCGTGACTTGAGGTGCGCCATTGCTCAAGTTCCAACGCAGGATTAATGAAATGTGTGAAACCAAAACTCCTCAAGCAACAAATCCGACCGGGATAAAGTTACAAAGGAAGCTGAATTACTGCCGGGTAAAAACGTGAGGCCCAATGCAGTGTTTCTTTGCGTTTTGTACCGGGACGCGACGGTGGTGCCGCCAGTTTTGACGTCACGCTTAATTGAGCTACAGCTTCTATGAAAGAGAATTCGAAGTGTGTAATTATAGCGCGGACATAGACTAGGTTATAAAAGCATGAGTACCTGCTCCAATTCCTGGGTTTTCTTCTTTGTTTTGCGGTGAAAGCGATCATCAAAAGAGCCTTGAGGGACAGCGAAATTCTAATTTCCACGCCAATTGGCGAGGTGTTCTAACAGCAAAAATATCAAAAATGAGATAGTCCCTTTTTCGGATGTTACATGACATCTTACATGCCGACTACTGGTTGATCTATCTTTAAATGTGTGTGTTTGTATTTCGATGAAACTTTGACACAAACTTACTATTATGCCAAGGACGGAAAAAACTTGTGGGATTTGAGGATTGTTTCATTGACGTTTCAGAGACTCCTGCTTATTGTTGTAAATTGTTTTGAGTGGTCAGAAGGAGTTGCAGGAGGTAGTGATTTCTCCTTGCTCGTATATTTATACCCCTTAATACTGATCGCTGCTGATGTCTGGCTAGGTTTGCTCTCCGCAACTGCAATTGCAATGTTGTCGGATGATAGATACATAGAGTCAAATGGGTTGGACGGGGTACTAATTGTATGTGTATCTGACTGGCTTAGTTCATTAGATGCCGTTCTTATAAATTTTCTTAGCTAACTTGTGGCGGACATAATCTTATATTAGCTGATAACAACGTTTGTTGTGAAATGCAGAGTCAACCTACTTGTTTTAGTTACAAGTGAGTTCGCCTTTTTCGCCATTAAAACGTGATGACTTCTAAGTAAGTTTCAACATGGAAGTTTAACCTAAAAACTTGAAATCTTCATGAATATGCATTAAAAAAAAGGTAGCTACAACTTGAAGTTACAAACGTGACCCCTATGTAAACGAAATTGTCTGTCAGAGCGGCCCGTAGGCACAATAGCATCCGGTAGTTTTAAGATATTTTAAAAGTGCATAATTGACAAGCTTAGGATGTTTCAAGAACGGCACGGGTTTCATGTAAAAAACCTATAAAACGTCAAAAAAAACATATAAGATATCAACTTGCAGACTAGGTAGTCTTTAGGGCGCAAACAGTCATTCCACGTTTGCTCACTAGGATCGTTGTGGACGTCCACCTATGGAGGAATCACTCAACTAAACTACGCATTATTGGTTGCATAGTTTTGCGAGGCTGAGTGATACAGGTCTGTAGTTTTTATCTCTGAAAAGGAAGTTGCATGAATAGCAAAATCGCATCTGGATGATTATGTGTACTGGTCTGCATTTGTATAAAATCAGTGATATTTGCTGTGTGAGAAAATCATTACCGAATATGCCGAACATATGACGGGTTATTTATATGTTGTGCTTTCTGAAGAGAGGGTATGTTCAAAGTTATAAATTATAAAAAAACTGAGGAGAATTACGGGAAATCATCACCGCGCCCGCGTTGTATGTAACTACTGTTAGCACGTGTATGGCTTGTACTTCGACAGTGTACAGTGAATATAATTATTTCTGATCTCTGTCATTTTTGAAATTCAGCAAATTTGTGTATGTAATTTCCAGAATGTATAAGAAAAAGTGGCTGCGCAACTAATTTCTAGCTTTGAATCTCGACTAAGCGTATTTGAGACAAGAATCCAATGGAATTATCGTCAACGCATACAACTCACAGCTTAGACCTGCAGTACTGCCAACTCTGCAGCAGATTTTACATAACATCAGAGCCAAACATTGATCACTAAAGCCTCATGACGTTTAGGCAATACGTACAACTAACTGCTAAATCAACATCTTGTAGAAAAACCTACATAATGTCAAGAAAACCATTATAATGTAAAAAAAAATCGATATAATGTCACTTTTCAAGATACATGATACCCGTGCCGTTTTAAAAAAAGGATCTGCGTAAATCCAGCTGTTGATCACCTTGCCAGGGGTTCTCAATTACATTTTACAACATCAAATACTACCACCAATCTCAAAGCCGGACTCCTGATGATGGCTAGCATAATTTGTCAATATCCCCAAAGGCAAGTCTTTCACATAGCTATACAGGGTGTCCGCAAAGTTGGGGTTCTCCTTTTCAGAAACAACTACCCTTGAAATAACAAAGGTAATGTGTAGTGAAACGAGGGCGACCAAGTAAAAAAAAATAAAGGAAAAAGTACTCACTCTCCAGTTGACGAGAAGGGCTAAGTACTTCTCTGCCCGAAATCATACCGCTCCAACAGAAAATGAAATCAGCTGAAGCGATACCGAGCAGACGCACCATTCCAGTCCAAACATTCACCGAAAATGTTTGTTGAAAATGTGCCCGACGGACAGCGTGCGGATTTTCTACTGACCAAACATGAGTGTCGCGAAAGTTATTCACCCCATTACGCGTGAATGTAGATTCGTCTGTCACCAATATGCACTTCAAAAAGTCCGGATTATTGTCATCTGCACGCAGCGTTTGCCACACTTTAGTTTTTGATACTTGCACTTCTCTAGCCACGTCCCTAGTGCTTGTTGAGGGATTCTCGTCTACGCGATT